GGTTTGTGGCTGGACGGGGGTGGCATTAATCATCAGGGCGGGAGCGGGCAAGGGGTGCTCCCGGTCGCCAGCGGGAGAGCCAAGCGGGGCTTCTCATTTTCTTTGCTTTGATGCTTCCGGGGCAACTGTGACCTCAGTGACCAGCGGGGAGAGGCAGACAAATCAACGACCTCCAGCTGAAAAAAAAAAAAACAAAGCAAAAAAAAAAGAAAAAAAAAAAAAAAAAGAGCAACATCTTGTTTACAAATCATAGCGATGGGAAGTAGGGAGTAGAACCAGTAAGAGAAAAATTTAAAAGATGTGTAGCCAAACAGAAAACACAGGTTGAGCTACAAAGTGTAGTGTGTAGGCAGTAAAGTGCAAAAGTGATCCTACCCCTTATACCTTTTTTATTATTATTTTGTTACATAAATACCCATTAATTTGGTATAACTTATGAGGTGGTTTTTGTAATAGACAAACACAAAGTAAGTTGGTTATACTAACTATTTCAAAATGTTTTATAATTAAAAATCTGAAATGTGTGGAGTGCCTATGTACAGAGAGCAATCATCAGAGAAGCAGCCTAGCCGTGCTAATAGCAGGGAAACAATTTATCGTTATAGGAAAACTGTTTATCCAGAACCATAGTTGGCCATTGTAACTGGCTTGTGCATTCAAAACAGGCTCTACTTGGAGAGCAACACGTACAAAAGGGTGATTGACAGTGCTAAGACCTTCCACCTTTTCCTGGAAGGTATTCTGGAAATACACTGGAAGAGGTGTATTTCTGCAGATGGCAGTAGAAATACAGAGAGGCGGCAGAGGAGATAGACTTTTTTCACACATTATCAATCTCACATTCTACTGCCAGGACATAGTGACTGTTTTATCTAACATGGAAAAAATAAAAGTTACATACTGCAGCTTTAAAGTTGCATGGTGCACAGTTGGTTGTGTACGTAAATATTCTGAGGTTTATAATAAGCAGAAGAACTCGTCCAACAATTTTCAGTATGAATTGGTGAACCGTTTCACTACAAGAGATCAATATATCAAAAGTTAGATGCAAAATATTTCTGGAAAAATACAGTACAACAAAATACTTTAGATTACAGCCTGTTCATGAGTCAGAATGGCCCAACCAGCGTACATAAATAACATAAAAAGTGGCAAAACCTGAACATTCTGTTCAAGTCTAAAAGTTCAAGCATAATAAGATTAGTCTTATTTTGTGTGAAATTAACTTTGCTACTCATCTTACTGTGAAACATTCTGAAAGCCATATATAATTTGACTTCCACTTCACAAATATGCACCTGTTTGTCTTGGTCAACCAGATAAATTACGATATTATACAATAAAGTTTGATTGTTGTAAGGTGACAAAATGTGAAGCTCAACACATATGAAAACTCTTCCAAAGCCCTCCAAATGTCTTTACTCAGGTTCCATTTGTCATCATGCACACATTTAAGTACATTAGTAATTTTAAATGTATCCAAGTTTGTCTGCATTTGAACGTATTGTTCTTCAAAATGGGAAAACATCAGCTCCCAAAATACTTGTGTCGTAACAATGAAATGATGCCAGTTTTCATTGGTAAAGCACTAACAACCATATGTATTCCACTGCAGGTCCAACAGCAACTCAGCTGGCTGAGCAAACGGGCTGAGTATAGCTATTACTTTCCCTTCAGCAAGTTTGCGAACACAAAGCAAACTGACAGCTCAAATACCTGGCAAGCTCACTCCTGAGTAAATCTTCAGAGTGTTGAGGTGAACATGGCTTTACAAATCACCCATTCAGGAGCCGAGACCGAAATTGGCAGGTAGGCAGAGCCGCGGTGTCGGGAGCGAAAATTACTCTGAAATGCGAAGCAAAGTGAGAGGCTGAGTGAGTGAGTCTCTGACTGGTGAAAGCTATGGGTGTCTCTGTGCAATGTGCTCACATGGCAAATCAAACAAGTGGTTTTCTGGAGGTGAGTCAACACTTTTGTACTTCGGGAGATGGAAATATTTTATGTGGGGTGAGGTTCTGAAACACATGCAGGGCTGCGGAGCGTGCTCACACACGCTTATTTGGCAGCTGAATACCTGGATTTATGTTTTAAATGTTAGAATGAAAAGTAAACAATTGATTGCATTATGAGAGGAGGTGATAAGGTCAATAGGAAGAGAGCTGATTTTGGGTCCAAAGCCTGAAAAAGTCACAAAGCAAGTGAGTCCTCCAAGTCGGTTTGAATTGGTTGTATCAAGATGTCCAGGGGACTGTGTGCGTGGCGTTGCTTGAAGCAGCCTCAAGGGCAACACAAAAGAGAGGCAGACAACAAAGAACCTGATGAAGTGGCTAATGCTCTGGCATGTCCCAGCAGAAGAAGCAGAGGGGCGGCCAGAGGCGGCTACATCTGCACGCCTCGCTGCTCCGTTCAGCCCCTGCTGAAGTGCTCCCTGGGTCATCAGATTAAGAAATGCAAAACAAGGGGCTACAGCTGTGATTGCAACAAGCTAGGTCAATATTGGAAGAGACAAAGGGGTAAAAATCGGGAGAAAGTAAGGCTATCTAATCGACTGGGAACTGCTTGAGAACGAATTCTTAAAATGTGGCGGGTGAAGCACCAGAGTACAGCATCATCATTATTCAAGGAAGCTCCTAATCAGCATATTAATGCTGGAACACCGAGTGCAAAAGTTTCTATTACTTCATTGTGGTTGAAATAAGACTTTTTGTTCCACAGATAAAAATATTCTAATTTATATAAGTGATCACTGAAAAATAGAACTCCTCAAGCTCTACAGCTCCCTCTCCAATTCCCCGGCCGGAACCCCTTAAAATGCAAAACATTTTGACTATCAAGGATCATCATTCTTTTCTCGATATATGAAGCGCTCTTTAAGAAAGCATAATGATGAATTCATGGTCCTAAAACTCTGGGGTGGTTTCTACCCTGGCACAAAAAGAATCACAAGTAGAAGAGGGTGGAGGGGAAAAAAAAGTGCCTGTTTGGATGGCATACATTGCCATTACTCTTGTATTGTGTCTCCACTTTTCATAATGACGGGGATAAGTGTCCTGCTCCGAATGCGTATCCGCTGACAATAGAGGCAGACATTACTTGGTTAAAAGCTCAGGGTCCTGTGGGTAAAGAGGCCCAGAGAATAAAGAGTATCCGTCATGGCTAACGAGCTATAAGGATAGCACATTGCCTTTATAAATCACAAGATCTTGCTGTTTATTTAAATTCATTGGTGCCTCATTATAACTGAGCTATGCACCTTTAGGTCCGAGTTGATTAGGAGTGCCATAGCTCAAAATGGCTTTTAATTCAGTGAAACGTAGCTCTGACCTTGGTGCCGTAACCCTGACTAAAACACGCCACGGCTCCCACATTAATAATGATGCTACCTTTACTGGGCCGGAGAGCTGTGCCGCTGCTACTTAAAATATGTATTATTAGTTACCAGCGACGGCACATTTATCACACCAAATTACCCTTCGATGTAAAACTGCTTAATTCTGGGTCCCTGTACCCCTCTGCACTATTACCTGCTCTTTAGAAAGGCCTGGAATTAAATGTAGGGATGAAATGTCAGGGTAATGGGGAAGAGGATGCGGGTCGATGGGATGCACACTTGATCATTCCCTGGTGGCCTTCTCCACATCCAAGCGATAGACTGAACGTGTCTTCCTCATAAACGAAGTTTCACTGCGTGCCTTGCTTTACAGACCTTTGAGAATGTAAATGAGGGATATTACTTTGAAATACACTTTATGCTGTTCATTAAAAGTGCATGCAAAAATAAAGGGAATCACCAAACCTTTGGGTGCCTAATGAGAACTTTTGGTTATGTTTCAAGATGTGATTCATCCTACTATCTAAAAAAAAATAAGTCTTATTTAGCTAATATTTATATCATATGTGCTGACTTAACAGCACATATAATGTGTTCTAAAAATTTTCACACCTCTTGAACTTTTTCAGATTTTGCCATGTTGATGAAGCACACTTCAATTTATTGTAATATAATAAGTGTGAAATACCAAAACAAATTACTGTGTAATTTCAAAATGGAAGAATTTCTTTTTTATTTTTTTCAGATTTTTCTTCCTTCTTTTAATCAAATATCTCTAAATAAAATTCAGTGACATCAATTGTCTTTGGATTGACAAAATGCAATGTTTATTGCGCATTTTGCAATTGGTTACTGCATTATGTTTGTATTGCGTAAAATGCGTTATGTGCTATAAAAATAAACTTGATTTGAAACTTAACTTCAGACGTCAACTAATTAGTAATTAGTCATTTAAAATCTCCCGACTGACTCCCTGTATTATATCACAAACTATAAAATCCAGGTTTTCACATTCAGAGTGTGCAAATAAAGTCGTCAGACTTGTCACTGGAGGAGTTTAAAAGGTTGCACAGGTTTGCCTGCCATTTTGCAAAGTTTCTCGGTATCAATTGGGGAAAAAAATAGAATAAAATATAGTCATTTCTGAGCAATAAAATCAGGATTTAGGTCACTCTTTCATTTGGTGTATTTACATTTAATAAATAAAATCAGATTTGGGTGGAGCAAAGTCAACTTTTGTTTAAAAGTAATTTTGTCCCAAATAAAAATAAAAGATCTCTACATCAAACACCTGTGCTTATGGGGTTAAATTTGTACCACTCTTGAACTGAGGTCAGGGTCACACACAATCAGCCGAGGGGCAGCACTTTGCAAACCCTTACTATCTGAGTATTGTACAAATGAAAACATAACAGGTGGTGGTGGCAGCATTATGCTGTGATGATTGTTTGGATGAAGAGCATGGATGGAGGAAGTTCAATGAGCAAAGCTGATAGAATACAAATGCACAGCACAATTTGATTTTAGATAAAACATTTATGTATCAGTTTGCGTATATTTCAAAATTATATTCTACTTTGTGTTGGGCTACCACATAAAAATCTTTGAAATACACAAACGTTTGTGGTTTAAGGCGACAAAAAAAAAAAAAGAAAGTGGGTACTTTGTCAAGGTAATGCATAGAGCATCTTTATTTGTCAGGATTCCTCCTTTCATTCCATGACACATCCAGAGGGGAAACCAGCCTGCAGCAACTCACCACATGTCATTGTTTATCCCATGTGTGTCCACCGGAGACTGATAACTCTGACCAATCGGCTAAATGATTAGATCAATTAAGTACTTGGGAGTGGGCATCAACATTAGCCTGCCACAGCTTCAAGACCTGTGGGAGTTAGCCCATCAGAACTGCTTCATTAGCTCTCTGGACTCTACCCAAAACTAACCCACAAAGACAAAAACACAGGGCTGTGTGGTATGGCAGCAGAAGATAATGCCAGAAAGAGAGAACTAAACTTTAAGAAGTGAATTATATTCGTTTCTACAGCAGTTCACCTCTGGGGATCAATTGTGTTTATGTGGTGCAACATCTCGAGAACACGTAAAAACAATACAAAGCGATCTAACAGATACATAAGTGAGAGTGTTTTGAGTGCTAGCCATATTATCTATTGTTTTAGGGCCAGTGGGATTGCACTGGTAAACAGAGTTTAGTCTCTCTGAGGAAGACATCAAACAGTCCAGTAATAATTCAGATTGCCAGGGACAACACTACATGGGGTTCGTAGATGAACACAGACAGTGCTGGCATAAACACATTTTTCGTATCAAACGTAGCAGCACAGTACATAAATACACAACGCGCACAATGCATTCATAGTTCCTGCTCATCTGAGCAAGTGGCGCGGCTCGAGCAGCCGGGGAAAAGAGATGTTACGTGCATTCTATCAGATGTCGAATCAATTAGTCACGACCATCTTTCCAGAGTCAGAAATAACCACTCGTCCCTCGTGTCTCCAGGGAGTCAGGAATAGGCCTGGGCAAGGGAGAAGAGATGGGAAGAGATCCAGAAAGTCCCAAAGGAGAGTAAAAAGGAGGAAAATGGGAGAGGGGAAAGAAAGAAAAAAAAAAAGGATAAATAATGCTGTCTGTTTTAGACAGCACATTACTTCCATGAGAGTTCTGTGCAAATACACAATTGCTCATCCACATACTTTGCATATCAGAGGACACTGTTCCTACACAGCGGAAACTCTCCGGTCATTAACATGTGATGGCATTATCTCTAATAGCGCAACATAAGATCCCCTTTTATAATCCTGCAGCATCAACTATAACACAGCCTCAAACCCATTTTGACACTATCACGGCATTCAACGGAGGCCTGTTTGTGTTGTCTTCCTCGCCACAAAGCTTTTAATCTTTTAATCTGAACCATAAACCGCGTATATGCAACACAGACTACTTTGCTAAAAGGTAAAGAGACACGATTAGTCTGCATAAAGGAGGACACAATAGAGATCGTTTCCCTGCAGGCTAAAAATAATTTAATCTGTCATGTAGATGCACAAATAGCGCTCTTACACCTGAATAGCATTCATTATTACCAGGTTAGAAAAGTCATAGCAGACAAATCGGTTTCTGCCGCTCTGTAGTGGTGCAGAGAAGAAAAGCTATTGTGTGTGCGCTCAGATTGTCCTCCTCCTCTGGTAATCTCTGAAAGGCACCAGATTTGAGCAATTTGCGTTAAAGACAATCATTTATTGACAATTCTTGTAATAATTTCTGCAGTGTAAAGAGATGTGTAAAATGGATCATCTGTCGTGTTTACAGCTGAATTGTATTCTTCAATATTTTCTTTTTATAATTATACGAGCTGGACAAACAATACAGTTCCACTGCATAATACAAATACACCACAAATTGTCGCAGTGGATAAATTCAGAGACACACAAAGGCTTTACGAGGCCCCAAGCATCATTAAATGTGCGATCCCACTTCCTGTTAAGCCAAACCAAAGCAACTCTGACCTCCATTTCATATTTTCCACGTTTGATCTTTTATTTTTAGCTATTTATTTGTTTGTTTATCTCCCCCCCTCCCCCCCTGGATCTGTTAACCACTGAGCCAATTGTTAAATTGACAATATTACAGAATATGTCAAGCTTGGCAAAATGCTACTTATTAAATTAAAACCCCTTAAAGTGCTTTTTTCAGAATTTCATTCCATAGTAATATCAGTTTGTTTGTTTTTTACAGTGAACAGAAAGTACGAGAAAAGTGTTGCATTCACAAAGGCTATTTACTCTGTCATTTATTTACATGCAGCCAGGCATGGTGTGTTTAAAATGATTTACTAACTCAAACACAATTTGCAGAAATCATTACATTTTCTTTACATTATGATTCTGTCATAACTTTCAAGCTATGAAGGTCCTTTAGAGGCACACCTCAATAAATTAGAATATAATTGAAAATACACTTCACATTAGATTCATTACCCAGAGTGATATAGTTCAACTGTTATTTCTAGTAATTATGACGATTGTGTCTTACAAATAATGGTTATCTAAATTAACTTATTTTGAAAATTATAATATTACATAAGACAAAAAAGAAAAGTTTAAGACATGTCATGTTACCGGCAGCAGACGGTCCATGACACCCTCCACAAGACACCTAGACCACATACAGACATTGCTAAAGAAGCTGTCTGTTCAAAGAGTGCTGCATCCAAACCTACTAATGGGAAGTCGAGTAAAAAAGATTTACAAGCGACGGGGATAACTATTGATTATTTTTGGAAGCTAAATTTTTGTTTTTTCTGCAAGTTATAATCATTGACAAACTATTAGCTATTTGCCTTTTTGAACAGAATGACTGAAACAAAGAACTTTTAAATAATTAAATTATTGACATGCTCCTGTACATGTGTACATCTATTGTGTCTGTCAATATCTGTAAAGGAAATTTGATCTGTTGCAACCTCCAAAAAAGTATGACGTAATGCAAACCTGCGTTGCTTTCTGCTCAGCCGTGACGTCAGGGTAAAATACACTTGGTCGTCTGATCTTGCCCACTCTTAAGACATTTGGTGAAGGTGAAGATGCAATCCAAAGTTCTGCGAGCACACTGACTGCATGCTGAAAAGGTGAATAGTGCTCCTATTCAAGAGTTGGCAAAAAAACAAAAAAAAAAACAAACAGCAGATAAATGACATATCAGCAATCACAAATAGAAGAACAAACAACAATGAGACGGCACAGTTTGGAAAGATGTACAGTTTAGATCATTTATCTCTCAAGAACTAGAGGACAAAATGCTGCGTTTGTTTCGTTCTTTTTTCCTTTCTGTGTAGAAACTAGTGCATCGTCAACCCCCATGAGGCTGTAGTGAAAACTGTATATCTTTGACTATAGTACTGTGGTTCAACCAACCTAAAAATAGCATGAATACCTGCATGTTAGTGTCAGCATGCAAGGAGCTTACGTGCAGATGCTGGAAGATCTGTTCAGGTCTTAACACTTCAGTTTTTTTCATGGTGAAACTGGTTTAATAAGGCAAAGACAGAAGACTCCCCCCTGAACACAACAAGCCAACCCTCTGGGTATAAGCGTTGTTGGCTGAACATGGCTGAAAGCCCTAGAGGCTGTAAGGAAAATGAGGTAAGAAAAGCAGAAACAGCAACATGTGCTCTCTAGAAATCACCTCCAAAGAGGCCACAGACACACCTCAATCTGCTCTGATGTCGTTATTCGTCTTAGTTTGTGGAAGGCGCTTCTTGTTGCAGGGGGCTGGCGGCGGCGGCATCAGAAAAGCCCCAGTCCCCTGTTCTGAATCCACCACATTAGATGGTGTGTTTGTGCCCTAGGGATTGTGGCGCCTCAGCCTCTGTTTGGGGTACTTTGTCAGATGACTCGGTGTGTGTGATTTATGAGCTCAGGAAAGGTTGCATTTCCAGCACGCATGGACGTCCGCATGGTAAATGGAGAAATTCTGAATTTATTAACATACAATGAATGATGATTAATGTTTTTTGTATAGATCATGCTCTCTTTTCAAATGTCTCAGTGTGGGGGTGATAGATGCCGTAATAAAGTGTACATGTTGCATGAGCGTTAGGCTCGTGACTCTTGCGTACATGTACAGTGGACTCGTTTAGTAACGGAATCGCAGCATTTCACAACCAACGCGCATGAAGAACAACAGCCCTTCTAGGGCATTTAACCAAGGTAAAGTTTTCTTTTCTAAGGCAAAAGCTGTGCGTCGTCAATGAGAAAATGTATAAATTAAAAACACACAAAAGCAAAAAACTGTGAGAAAAAGAATGCAATTTAGACCCGTATCAGGGTACATTTAGAAAGCCATTCATCAAAATCCCCTCCATTATTAACTTTTGTATTCTACAACACATCTTGTGTCCCCCTCATCAGCTTTTTCAATATCTTCTCAAATACATTACTGCCAGTGTTGAGTGGGTATGTTCACCCAAGGCCAATTACTGCAGTGAACCATAAAGGTAAGCAGTGCTGAGGAGGGCTCTGTCACATATTTGCCTTTGTGTCCCAGCCAGACCCCCACAACGGCAGATGGGAAGAAATACGGCCAATGTCAGACATCTTTTTAATCACAATGACAACTGAAGAATCAATATGCAGAGGCATGTTTCTGACAGGTTTTGGGAAATAGGCGAATGTGACTCAACCCACATGTTTGCATCTCAAAATTGTAAAGCAAGGTTGACGTCTGCTTATGCAGTGACCTTATCATTTCACCCCTGGAATAAGGTTGAATATTGCCCTATGCCTGCGTGTGAGGAAAGTCTAAAAAAAAAAAAAAAAAAAAAAAAAAAAAAAAAATGACAGGAGGGATGAGCAAATAGTTGGAGGGAGCATTTCTGTTTGAGAGCTTGAAGTGTGTGCATGCATACCTTCATGTGGTTGCAAATAGAGAGTTTGCAAATGTGCGGCATGCATGTGGGGCTTGTGTTTAACTGTGCAAGTGTGACTTGCGAGAATAGACCGTGCGAGCGTGTGCACGTGCCTGTGAGCTAACTTTACATGTATACAGTTGCTGTCAGAAGAAGCTGACTGGTGATGAGGGATGGAGAGAATCAGAAACACATTGGGCTGGGAATGGGGTGTGAGCCGCAGGGTCGCCCTGGCACCAAACACAACTGCCTCTCACATCATTACCCTCATTCCCCTAATGCGCACAACACTTAGAGCTACAAACAGGCTTGACTCCAGAGCACACATATAGACACACATATCTACAGAGCTGCACACTCGCACAGCATCCCAGACTCAGACGTACATATTTTCAAGCACATACACAAAGACTTTTGCGACAACCAGCTTCTTGCTGTGAAGTGCTTAGACACAACTTTCCTTCATGTATAAGAAAATCACAAACTCTAAATTTGGCCCAAAATTGGGATAACTGATTCTCATAACCTCACGGACAGTGGTTGATGCAATTACCAAATGCAAAAACAACTTCACCTTCCTCCAAAGTATTCATTCAGCTTGAATGTGTTTCACTTTTTGTTTCATTGCAACTTCTAACTTCAGTTCAGTTTGTTTGGATTTAATGTGAAAGACCATCATAATGAGTTGTAAGGAATATGATTCATTGTTTTTAACTTTTTTGTAGCTTAAAATCCCTCAACTGTCATTCAAAAAACATTTACATGCAAGTCAATGAGACCATGAGGACACCAATGTCCTCAAGACAGCTAAGGATTTTTTTTAAAAGTCTTTCAAACATTTGCATTAAATCCTCTTTACCCTGACACCCCATAAAGTCCAGTGTAAAATCTACAGTTTCAGAAGTCATACAATTTCTAAAAATAGTATGAGTTCTAAAAATCGGTCATTAAGCGTGTGATATGCAGCCACGCGGCAGGAGCAACACGCCACACATGAACCGATTTTACTCGTTCGCATTCAGATGTCAGATGGGAAATCTTACAAAACCTCTCAAGACCAAACGTGAGTTCAGATTGAACAAACGTGGCCGACTGAAAAGAAGCAGCGGCGATGGCTTGTGGACTATATTAAACAGAAAAAGAAAACAATAGAAAAAGACATTCCCAACGTACTGGCGTGGCATGGCAGTTTTGTTTTCTTTATTTCGAATTCCCTAACATCTTTCCGTCATTTCGCCGCTTTTTGATTGGCCAAACATCACATTCGACCAGCTACGTTCTCTTTTGTCCCCATTGGAAACTTCACATGTGGTGTGACAACGGGCCAAGACAATCCAACGTTAAATATTCCCAGTTTTATCTCGGATTGGTCTCGATATACTTCTGAGCAGACCAGATCAAGCATGAATACTTTTGCAAGGTACGGTCTTTCTTCTTTACACACTTAAATGCAATTACAAAATACCTTTATAGCATTTTAGACAAGTACAATATAACTGAGTATTACAAGGAAACAAATCCCTATTCAAGTACAGGACCCCCATAAAATCACAACAATTTCACAGTGCCTTCCTCCTTTCTTGCTGCATGAGAGGTTTTAAGAATAGTGGGATCAGGGTGCGGTTGAGCAAAAAAAAAAAAAAAAAAAAAGGAAAAAAGGTAAAGAGAGGAGAGCGGAAGATGCGATGCAGAAGAGTGGAGGTAGGAGGTAACCCAAGCATAAAATAACTTCAATCTAACATCCTTTCAAAGTGGTGGTAGGAGGCAAATAGCAATCCGACCAATGCCACGCACTCAAGGGGGCTTCACCCCACCCATCACTGACCCATGGAGGAGAGGATCATGGGAGAGAGGGGATGAGACAAACCCACTTCAATTAAGCCACGGCGACGTCTCGTCAGCACAGCAGATGAGGTGTCAGAGAGTTCAGCTGTGGATGGATCGCAAAAAAAAAAACACTTTCTTGGCTCAGCAGAGTCACGGACTTGAACCTTTCCTTCCATTACCCTATTGTCTCCTTCGCCTCCGTTTCACCTTTATTTTATTCCAGATTTCTTCCTGCTTTCCAAGCAGATTGGGTTTAGCGTGGATGTCAGAAGCCTGTCCTCGCAGGCCTCTAGGATAGTAGGCCTGATAAGCCTGTGATCACATTTTTGTGCATTAGACACCTTCTGTCTGATCACACCTGGAGACGGGATTTAAAAGGTCAAAACAACATGTGCATCATTGCTTGGGGAAGAAAACAAAATCTAATTATGTTTTTAAGAAAAAAAGAAATAAAGAGATGAGTACAATAAAAACAAAGCCAAGTTGCCAAGTAACCATAGTACACATAATGGATCAAACATTTGGAGATCCACAGCTGTGGAGGGAGAATTTCAGCCCTTAGATTGAGAGAGGTTGGAAAGGGGGGCGGGTGCAAGAAAGGAGAGCACATTCTGGGAGACCCAAAGATAGTCGCAGGGAGGGTGCTCTTGTCCGGGCTTTCTAGAAGATATTGCTTTCTGTGATTAGAACATTACCATAATATCGGCTTTGTCACCTCGCGAAAAAGAAAATGTTAAGAAAAGCGCCATCCATTCCTCTATTTTACATGGAGGCGTCAAGAAGGCAAAAAGGCATCCTGAGGTACAGAAGCAGCTTTCTGCACTCTCCTCACCCCCCCAATCCAATGAATATCTGCTTGGGAGATACAAGCTGGATTTGGCTCACATTCTCGCCTCTTCCCCTAACGCCGCATGGCTGCCGGGTGTCGGAGCGCCAACTCTTCCAGCCCAGCTGCACTGATTAGCACAGGCAGATTATTAGCCCTGCGTCTCCTGGAAGTGCTGCATGGTTCTTTTCTTTTTAGCCCCGTTTTTTTTGTTTCACTTTCAAAGAGCCGTGTCCCACCCAGTGTTCCTAATTCGCCTAATCGAAGCATACAAAAGACAAAAGTGAAGGACACATAAAAAACACATACACACAAAAAAAACAGGCAATTAGTCCCACACGTATGCAAGCGAAGTAGGAAGAGTGAGGTGACACTAATTTGTTTTTCGCTGCTTGTGGATACACGAGCAAAAAGTGATTCATCAGCATTGTGAAAAGAGCTCTCTCATCTTTCATTCCTCGTCTTTCTTTCTTCTTCCTTCTCTTCCTCCGCCCTCTCCCACTCCTCCATTCTCTAGCACCTGTCCTGCTGCCAAAATTTCACCTCCCAAAACCCGGGACATGGACATCCCGCTCTCGAACTTGTGCT